TCAGCAGTGGTCAGTTCGGCGATTTCAATTTTCCTATTTCGAACTTTGGCTTCTCATCTTGAAGCGTTTTCTTTTTTAAGTTTCAGCTCTTTCCGTTTGTATGCGAAACAGTTCCTCACTGAGAAATTAATAGCAAAAACCGTGCATGCGAAGCTTGAAATATCACTCCTCGCATTGAAACAATCGATTTCAGCAAAAACTCACCAAAATAGGAGCAGTTATGGACTCACTGTCCGACGAAGTTTGGGCCAAACTGCCTCCGCCGCCAGGTTTCGAGAAGCTTCCAGCACAAATTCAAGCAAAACTCAAGGAAATTCACACACAGCGCGGCACTCACGCGGAGCGAGCCGCCAAATATGCGCAGCTGTTCGATTCGCTGCCAGCGGAACAAAAGAAGCTGCTCGGACCTCCAATGCCAAAGCCTTGATGCCGGTTCAAAAACGTCCAAGCTTATCTACCACTTCACACCCACTCATGTGCCAGACAACCCACGGCGCCTCCAGTTTCACGTATTTTTCGTTTTTCAGTAGGAATCAAGCAGTATTCCAACGATCAGTTGTACAGGGACTTGTACCAACACTCGCGCTTTAGATCCCCAGGTTGGAGTAGAAGCACTTTTTGTTCCCCCCTCCCCCACAAAATCGGAACGAAAACGACCAATAAAGCGAGGAACGGAGGGAGACAGAACGGCCCAGAAATGATAAGCCAGGCAGAGTGCTTCTCACGCTTTTGCACATTTCAAACCTTTTCCAGACGAAACAGCCTGCTCTTTTCAGAGGTTAGATGCACTATTGTGATTCAACAGTAACTGCACGCTGGCCAAACCCAGCCAGCCCGGAACCCAGTTTACCAGATGGTTCAGTTATCACAAAAAAATAAGAGATCAACAACGCGATGATCGCGAATTACTTTTATGCAAAATGCTTAAGAATCAGTGAACATGGACATTTGCAAACAGGGGATGAGAACAATGATTAGAGGTAATTTGGAGCTGAGAATGTGGAGCAACGACGTCAGTCGCAAACAGATGGCAATTTATATAGTTTCAGGGAAAAGTTTAATTTGCGAATTTTGCCTCTGCAAAAGTCTGCTCTCACAGCGAAAGGCATCAGAATTAATACAAAGACAGGCGGGCTTGCAAAGTGCAGTACGGAGGAACGTCAGTAGTCAATCGTCATTCGTATATGACACATTATAATCTGGATACTTTTTTCGAAGCAAGCTGACGGTTGTTTCATGCTGAGCGCGGCCGTATCGCTGCAATAATTCTTAATAATTTTCGTAAGTCACTTGCGGGTTTCGCAGAAATGCTGAACCTTTGAAAGCATGAAGTTTTTTTTTTTTGCAGTACTTCGGAAGATGCGAGATAAAATCAAGATCAGCTCTCAGGTGCAAAAATTTGAAAAAATAGCGTGGGTCCTGATCATTCACAGAGTAACATGAAGTGCACTGTCCGCTCGCCAGGCATTGCTTGAAAAATATTTTAGTCCCTAGGGAATTCGCTGATTGGTCTCAACAACGATTTGCTACTGGCGTATCTCTATCAGATATGTGTGTGTGTTTGTGTATATACATATATATATTCGTCTGTCCAATATTTGTACTCAGCAGCCACGCAACCTTTGAGGCTGAAATTTTGCCCGTGTGTTCTTTAGTCAAGTGCGACCCCAGCAGCACGATATCAAACGTCATGTGCGTCTCAGTCTCACGTACAGACACGTGGAAGTTTTGGCGAGAGGATCGCTAACTCGGGGACGGGGAAAGCTAGAAAGCTACTACTTTAAGGGAATGTTCCCTAATCATGTGCGACTAAAAGATTTCAGATTCAACTCTCCCGTCGGGGTCCTTTTCGCGCACCAGCAACTTTCCGTTTGTCGGGTCACTGAAGCCGACATCTACAAATGACACATCACATAAATGCACAATTAACGTCCTGAACCTAGAGGTCCAGTATGTTACAAATTCTAACTACTGTGTTTCCTTGCGATCTTGCCGCCTGGTGCGTCCCAGCCTGGGTTGAAAGGTTGATTATCAAGTTCACCTCCTTACCTCCTCTGTTAAGCTCCTGCAGTACCCGTAACTACGTCAACGGCGAGACGTAAAAGCTTTTGGTCTGCTTCGAAGAAATTGAGATTTTGTCAAAAATGAAAAATATCAACAAGAAATGATAAAAAAAGTGATTGCCTGCGAGTGTCCGTAAACAAGGATAGACTTCTTCCCAGGCTCATGTTTGATGAATCCGCCACCAACACACTTTATCGAAAACTGGGAGCCCACTTCCTGCTGCGTTTCCCTGAATATATTTTTGTGCCATTTGCAATGCGCATAGCCCCTTACAATAACTTTTTCTTCGTCAATTGCTATTTCAGTAATCTGCAAAAAACGGAACTGGTGTTTACAGCACTCATTATCCCTATTAAGAACTGCTTCCTCAAGGAGCTGAAGGGAAATTTCTCTCAGCTAAATACTCAGTACAATTCCCAGAAGCAAATACCTTCTGCTTTTTTAAGTCAATTTAGGCTTTCAACAAAGCAAGCATGAGGCGAGGAATCACAGAAATGACGAAAGACTGCGAAAAGCGCAATTTGCCAGGGTACCGGACAAGACGCGCAAAAAGCGTGTGCTCTGCAGTCCCTTGCTATATACGAATTGTTCGGTTAGGACATTCCAAAGCAATCACTGGAAAAACCAAATCTACCACTAAAATGAACTGGCACGATGAGGCGGCACTGCAGAGATTTAAACTGCCCTGTCCGCTTAAAAATCAGATCTTGTTACTCGCTACGATACAGCCTCGTCCTGTTCCAAGATGTGAAATCCCGGGCGGATTCGACATCTGCAACGGTTGGACGGGCATTCCTACTACGAAACCGACCGCCTCACTTTGTGAGACAAAAAATCCCTAAGTGGCAAATGAACAAGCTGCATCTGATGGCTGTTCGCTCTTTAAAGCAGCTTGCGGTGCAGAACAGCAAGAAAATTACCTTAATTAGAATGTACTTAAAGACCCCTTCCGGATCAATGTTCACATCAGGAATACTGTCAAGCAACATCTCAGCACAATGCAAAATGTGCCTGCAAAATGCTTCTTTCACTAGCTTTTCCCCATACAGAAATAAGCACAGGGGAAATAATTTGTAAAAACTTTCACCGATCTGTGCAATCTAAGCAGGTAATGCCATAAAGCCACATAATCTCAAGGAAGGTGGAACTACGAGTGAGAAAGCATCCGGATGAGCAACTCACTGGAAGCAGCACAAGCAAGCAAAACGCTTCAGGAAACAACCTCTCTGGAAAAGAAAACCCAGCCTGCAATACACCAGGCTTGCCGGTGTGATCATGCGTTTTTGCGCTAAATTTGCAGATCATTAGCAGCAGGAACGGTTCCTGCACTGTAATTTAATACTTGGACTCATATTGGCTGTGTTTTGGCTTTTCCCCCCAAGCAGGGGAAAAGAGCGTAGGCTGAGACAAAGGTTTTGCACTGCTGGGCCGCATGGACCTCAGCGTGCATGACTACCAATTTTTTGCATAAAGCCCGATCATTCTTTCAGTTAGTGCGTACTCACTGGAACCATTGGCGGCACGCATCGGGCAGGCCCGTGCGATCATGCGTTAGTGGCTAGAATTTATGACGCACTGGTCCTCAAACTTTAGAAAGTTAATCTACAATTACCACGTGTACTTGGAAAGAGGACAACCTGTTATAATTTCAGCTTCCCAGTTTTCCTGGTTCCCGAGTTAGTAATTTTCCCGCCAAAAAATCTCGCGGTGGCACACATACGAACCACGCACACCTAGGGCAGGATTTGACTAATTTAAGTTGGGGGTGGGCCAGGAACATCCTCTTAAAATCTCAGCCTCCCAGCTTTTCTGATTCCCGAGTTGGCGAATTCCCTGCCAAAAATTTTCACGAGGCCGTACGTGAGAACCAAGCGTAACTGGGGGCAGAATTCGAAATCTTTGAGTTGTAAGTGCGCGGTGAACATACTTTCAAAATTTCAGCTTTCCTGATTTCCGAATTAACCATTTCCCAGCCAAAAAATTTCACGAAGCCGTACGTGGGAACCGTGCATACTTGGGGCTGAATTTAAAATCCTTGAGCTCTACGCAGACGGGGAACTTCTTAAAATTCCAACCTCCCAGCTTTTCCGGTTACCAAGTTATAGATTTTTCCCCCACAGACTTTCATGCGGCCGTAATTGTGTAACACGTGTAGCGGGGGGTTGAATTTGGAATCTCTAGCTCGCACTTTGGTCGGAAACATTCCCTCAAATTCTCAGCCTCCCAGCTTTCCTGGTTCCCGAATAAGCCATTTTCCCGCCAAAAAGTTTCATGTTTCATGGGGCCGTACATGAGAACCATACATACCTGGGAGATAAATTTGATATTTTTAGCTCTCATGGAGGCTGGGAACATCCCCTTAAAATTTTAGCCTCCCAGCTCCCCTGGTTCCCAAGTCAGCGATTTTCGACCCAGAAACCCTCACGGGGGTTCCTAGTGAATGGAGAACAACCCAAAAATTTCAGCTCTCTAGCTTTCCTGGTTCACGAGTTAGCGATTTTCCCGCCAAAACTTTCACCCTCTCGTACGCGAGGCCCAGACTTGCGCGAGAGCTGGTGCTGCGGTCCTGGATTGGCACTTGGCCGGGGAATCTGTAGGCAAGTTTTTGGCGCCGGAGCTTGCTTGGGTATCGAGTTGAAATACCCGGACAAACAGGCTGAGAGACAGACACGCATACTCACAAACACGAACATACACGTACACGCACACCATGGGCCGTCACAATATGCGTTTTTGCAATTTGCATATAAGCAAAGCCGCATAAAAATATAAATAGTAGCGCGCACCAGACTAGCCAGCGCGATCATGCGTTTTGTGTAATTCAGCCCATCGAACGATTGCTTATTAACGATTTCCACTGCTTTGTACTTTTGTCCATGCAAAAACAGTTCAAATATTGGAAAATGGCTAGAAATTTCAGGCACCAGCGCATGAAAGCTGAATTCGAAACCTTGCAGAGTGAATATCTTTCCGTGACCCCCGAGTTAATAGTTTACCCGCCAAAATTCTCACGAGGCTGTAGGTGACACTTGAGAGCGAGGGAACGCTGAATTTGAATAGGCAAGGTTGAGCGTGGGTAGGGGAGTTATTACCCTAAAACTTCAGCTTCCTAAACCCCGTGGTTCCCGGGATAATAATTTACCCGTAAAAACTTTCACTGGCCTGTAGGTGATACCCGAAAGCGCAGGAAAGCCGAATTTGAGTGGGTATGGTTGGGCGTAGATGGGGGGTCATTACTCCAAAATTTCAGCTTT